ATTTTTCTTTGTTGTTTCGGCATTCCTGCAATAATAAATCACGGCACCTATGCCGCCGCCGGAAGGGAGTCGTCGAGGAAAAACTCATAAATCCAAGGCCAATTAATTGACTTAACTGCTCCTGGCAAAGGCACATACCAAAGATGAGAGGCAAAGGCCCAGGCGAACGCAAGGGCATAAACATAGCCAAAGTTAGGCCCATGGCAAAGGCTCCAAAGGGTCGCAATTTATGGCCGCAACATCAACTCGAACCCACACATAATAAATCATAACATTATACAGATAATAGAAAACCTCACACATGTCCAATGAATTGCCTCCCTTAGCTACCAAAAGATATCGGTTTGTTGGCCCGCTAGCTAGAAATTTTAATAAGCCGCAAAGAGTTTCCACTACGAGCAGTAGAGGGAATAAAAATGGTTTAAGCACTCTTAAGCTTAAAAGAGCAGGACCAGGTTGGCATTTTTCTATCAAATCTGTCAATATTCAATTTTTGGTTTTTTGGGGAAAAATTTAGTTTGTAGTAGGCTGTGAGGTCGAATTCCTGCCTATATAAGGCGGAATTTGTATAGAAAGCATCAGTATCTTTTTCAACCGGCTAGACGCAAGACGCAAAATTAAAAGTATAGTCTCTGAATTATTTTTTGAAAAAAAAAAATATTTAAATTACAGTGACAAGTTTTATATATAAAAATAATAAAAATCAACGACTGGTGAGTATGAAAAATAAATTCCCCCAAAAAATATTCCTTTCTTTATAAATTATTAAATTAAATTCCGTAAATTAATATTCAGTACATAATAGTGAAAAAAAATTGTTTATCGAGTGAATTTTTATTAATAAATAGTAAAGACTGAAAAGTCTTGGTGCCGGTGCCAGGCATTTTAATTTATTTATTAATAAATAGTAAAGACTGAAAAGTCTGAAGCACATTGGTGCCGGTGCCAGGCATTCATCTCAGCTTTCAACTAGGAATAATTTTTGCATCTAAAAAAAATATAGGTATAAATCTAAATTTAATTTAAATTTTCAATCGTAGTTCGGATCGGTACAAATTTAAATTTTATTTAAATTTTCAATCGTTGTTCGTACCGGTATAAATCAAAATTTAAATTTTCAATCGTAGTTCAGATCGGTATAAATCTAAATTTTATTTAAATTTTCAATCGTTATTCGGATCGCGTGAGTTTACATATCTTGTGGGGTTAGCGAGTTGGCCAAAGCCAATGTACGGTTGCAAAGCATGTTGAGTGAAAGTGTTAGAAGCTTCCTTGGGCAACGCCCTTGGACCGGGCCGCGTGCTTGTCTAGATGTCGGATGGTATTGCCCGCCTATCTAGCCTTAAACTAATGCTGAGGGCAGCCTGACGACAGGCGAGCACCACCTTACCACGCCTCCGCCTATTAATGGTGTCATTTACATGCTGCAGCCACATGCAGTTACCAGCGAAGGGCGACGATAAATCATACCGCGATTTTTGTTTCCTTCGGAGAAAAGTCGGTAGTTAATCGGTGCTCTTAGTTTTCTTTTGCCGTCGAAATCGTAAAATTATACGCCCTGATTGATCAACTTTTCCCCGATGACAACCATAAAGGGGATAGCAAGCGGGGACGCTGCACTGTCATTGTGGCCGAAAATGTCGAGGCAGCCGCTCGTAAACATAAATCCAAGTGGCGCTAATTGTTTGTTGCAATTACTGCTGCAGTTGTTGCGACCGTTCAGTTACGTGTGCAGCCAGCGTCGAGGCGACATGACCTGAAAGGCTCGATGTGGCAGGAAGAGGGGTTGTGTTTGCATACAAATTTTGTTGCATCTGCAGTTGCTGCTGATGCTTTCGCTGTTGATGCTTCTGCTGCTGCTGCAACGGCAAACAATTACTCAAGCATTGTTGCAACTGCTGCTGATATTGTGGATGTTGTTGCTGTTGCTGCCGCTGCTGCTCGTTGTGCGTGTTAAATGGCAACTACTCTGGCTGCTAGTGATAATCACTCGACGCCCTCTGCTCCTCTCGATTTCTACTTAGTTTAAGCTGCTTCGTGTTTGGCTTTTATCTTCATTTTAGCTCTTTGTCAGCAGCTTAATCAGAAAGGTTTTCAGAGCTTTGATTTAATTGAATGTTGCTTTAGCAACCTGAAAATTAGAAAATTTAAACTTTTTGAAAATGCAACAATGCATAGCAAAGGGCTCTTAATTTGTATAAGCTCATTTTAATTTTTGTTTTTTTTTTTTAATTGAAGTAACTTGCCTCTGTAAACATGATGCAGCTGCAAAAGCATGCAATCCCTTATTTCTAGCCCCCTCATTTTGATATTCAGCAGATAATTCCAACTATCGCACTCTTTTTTTTTATAGACTTTATACGGATCTTTTTTACCTTTAACGGATCATCGCTAAACTATGGACAAGAGAATCTTCGATGATTACTTGAACTCGGTGGGATCTGACGAGAGCATCCTGTCCGTGATCGAGCCCTCCACTGAAGGTATGCTGACAGGGAAGTCTTGCAAGCCCAAGAAAAAGCCTACATGTGCCCGGAAACAGAAGAAGTGCTCGAAGCCTTAGCCTAAGAAAACCTGCAAGCCCGGTCCTATTATGAATAATGGATACCTTAACTTCGTGCGTGCCTACCGGGAAAAACACAATTCCATGAAGCCACAGGAACTGATTAGAAGGGCGGCCAGAGCCTGGTGCCGTTTATCCGAGGAAAAAAAAATATATACCGGCGCATGGTGAGTTTTTTGCATTATGTTATTTACTATCCTGTAACTAATCTTCTGAAATCCCGCAGGCTTGCAAAGTTACAACTAGTGAAAGACATAAAAGACGCAAAGTGTGCAATCCTGAAAAATGCGAGAGATCTTAGGTGGCATATCTAAGTCTTCTTCAATCAATCCCCGTCTTCTGGCCCCTGCTAATTTTGATGTGATATTGGTGGCTCATCTAAGTTGTCTTCAATCAATCCCTGTCTTCTGCCCTCGGCTAATTTTGATCTGAAAAATTAAGGTTTAGGTTTCCAAAACAGTCTATATTATTAATAAAGCATAAATTATTTTTTCGGCCTAATAAAGTTTTTATAATGGGAGGAAAGGGGATCAACCAAAATACACGCAAGAGCATGCTTTATGATGCTATTAATCGGACAGAGATAATTTCAGTTCCTATTGTATTTAAGAGAGAACTGCTAATAAGCGCCTGCTAGTCTTAGTTTTAGATTTTTAGTTTTAGATTTCCGTTTCTATTCTATTTTTAAAATGGACGGTCGTGTTATTATAGCTTTGCTTTACGTTCTGATTACTTGCAGTCTGACTTCTGCATGAATTATATGTGAGTTGATTTATTTTGAAGAGTTTTTGAAAAATTAAAATCAATTCTTCTATAAAGGGACCAATAAGTGGCCTAAAACAGATGACTTCATGGACCATGTTGGAAGAAAAATAGGATTAGTCTATGGGAGTATTTTTTAACAAATCACCAAGAATAATGTGTTCATCCCAAGGGTTATGATCTGAAAATTAAAGCGTAGGTTTCCAAACAGTCCGTAATATCAATAAAGCAAAAATTCACTTTCGGTCAATTTAAGTTTTGACAATGGGAGAAAAGGGTAGAAAAAAATATTCGCAAGAGCATGCTCGATGTTTCTCTTATTCGGACAGAGATTATTTAATTATTATAATAGTACCACGCATACCGCCGCGAAAGCAAGCTAATCAGTCTTTATTATTCTGCTAAAATGAAAGGTAGTGTTATTGTAGCTCTGCTGTTCGTTTTGAGTTCTTCGAGTCTAAAAGTGGGAGATGGCGATAGGAATAGTGGATTTTTAAAGGAATGAAAGTTCATTTATTCACAAAACTCTATGTCAAAAAGCCATCAGGCATTCCTTAAATTGGACAAGGAGTTCGACAAATGCTGCCAATCCAGAAAGACATCCAACAAGTTCGACGACTGTGCTTCTTGTTTAATTAAATGTAAAAAGTCTGACAATTCAAATATGAGAAGTCGCGTCTGGTATATTCTTCCCCCTGTGGATCATACTAACAATCCAGTACCCCGTTAAATTTATATCCACATTAAACATCAAAGATCCAGTCACTAATAATCCAAGTTACTACAAACACATAAAAGTAAATTGACTCGTAATCGCCGGCATGGTCAGAAAAAATCAATAATTTTAATTTAACTTAGATTTTGTTATTCTTTTAATAAATTTTTTATATTATCGGAGAGAAATGGTAATTTTTTTCAAAAATTCCGATGGCAATATATTCAGAAGATCGTATTTGATGTATAGCATATATGTGGTGTCTAATCGGACATATGTACACAGATTATTAAAGCTCTTATTGAGTTTTAAGAGCAGACTTCTGATAATATAATATTACCGTCACTTAAAAATATCAGTTTTGAGTAGGGAACTGCTTCAAAATTATGAGGAAATATAAATTATGGATAAGTTGATTTTAAAAATAGGGGCCAATAACGCGTGAACAGGTCGGACAAGTGGCACTCGGTGTTTGGTGTACATTTAGATACATTTGTATCTCGTGGCTCGCTGCGCGTAGCACGTGTATCTGTTTATTCAGCTGTACAAGCCCATGGACTAAATTCAATTTATTATTCCACTATATGAGCTTTCGCACTTAACTTGCATGAATATATAATGAGGTCTCCGCTATGGAAATGGAACGGGTAACTGCTAACGCTGAACGCTAAATGGGAAAGGTAATGCGGAGGAAGTAAGGGGTGAACGGGGCAGACTGGGGCTGATTGGGGCGGAAAGGTATCGCAAGATTGCGTGTTCGAAGCTTGCCAACAACAATCTGACCCGGCGCCTGTTGTGAAACGGCTAAATTGAATTATTAATAACACGCAACGCTCGCACTGAAGTGGATGCTATATCTGCAAATGTGTATAATGCATATTGTGGTTTTGCGGAGACATCCTTGGGACAGTTGGCAAGGAAGAAAGTATAGCCAAAGGGCAAAGAAAGGAAATGATTTAAATGGTGATTTTTACCAGCCATGCTGCCAGCCTGCGCCTCCTCACGATTCTGTGCCTGGGTCCCATGTGTCAAATGCTCCTGGTGATGCGCCTCTTGGTCCGCATGTGGGTAAGTTCCCGCCACTGGATGGATCACCTGAGATATGGCCTTAGCCTCTAATTTTTGGTTTCTCTAGTTCAGTATGTGGATTGTTGTTTGAGGAGCAGAATTTCGTACCTCAGCAATAAACCAACCAAAGCAACCGGCTCTTTCACTGGGAAACGCAACCGAAAATCACTTTCACTCCGCAAACTGCCAAACTGCAGGCATTTATGACAGCCCAGCAGAAAGGGGGGCTGGCCGGCGATCTCCTGGAACGTGTGTGGCACAAGGGCCAAAATCGCATAACAAAATTGTTGCTGAAAAGTTGAACAAATATTGAGGTCAGCAGAATGTCGAGTAGAGTCTCGAGCGGGCAGCATTGTTGCTGGTGCAAACTGTTTGCAAGCCTTTGGCACAAACTTCTTACACGCTCCCCGGCCCCGACGCCAGTCGGACTCGGATCCGGATCCGGAGCCTTTGCCGTGGCCGTTGTCGTCGTCGTAGCCGTGACTCTGAGTCCAGAGTTGAGCTGGGGGGAGAGGCCTCCGCAGAGGCTCGCCCTGAACGAAAAATATTCATATTCAAATATTTGTCAATAATACAAAATGGAAAAAATGAGTTGTTGCTGTTCGAGTTTGCATGGTGCAATGCAGACGTCGACGCAGCCCGGGGGTCCGGTTCCGATGCCGTCTGTCCCGACAGCCCACTACCATACCCTGAGCCCCGAACCTACAACCCTGCACCAACATCCCCAAAGCCCCAAAACCCCACACCCTCAGGCGTGCCAGCTGCCTTCGCCTCGAATTGAGAAACTGCCGCAAATGCTTTTCGATTTTTCGTTTTGCCACGGACAAGCCTTGGCTTTTCATATTGCATAATTGATTGGGGGTGCTGGGGGCGGAGTGTGAGTTTGGAGGTGTGGGCTGATTAAATACCAAGCAGACGGCATTGTCACTCCCCCTGGCGGCCCAGGCCCACTCCGCCAGAATTTATGCACATTTTCAATATGCATTCAGATGCCATTCCCCATGCATTGATTGCCGCATTGGGCCGGAAAAGAGCATTGCCAAGTTGTGTGTTATATTTACGTTTTCCTTGGTAATAATTAAATTTCAGGATCTTAAAAGCGATATTCGCAAAAAATGCAACAAGTAGGATTTTAGTCTTGAATCGACATAAACCAAATTATAAAAGCATTAAGAAGGAATCAGGAACTTTAAGCTGGAAACACTTTTCATGTTAAAACACCATTGCACATTTGTTAATGAACTTAAATAAAATATGATACTTTGTATTTCTCTGGTAGCTTCCTCTGATAACTTATTCTTCTTAATCTCATACCTAGTTTCTTGCATACTAATAACCCATCCTGAAAGGATGTTCCCTAAGAAGTTTTTTTCCTCCATTGCACTTCGGGGCACCTATTCATATAGTTAGTTTACCCTCTTGGAATGATGTACTAGAGCTCGGAGAGCCCTCGACGAATCTCAAGTCGAGATATGGCCACACAGTAACCTAACGAGCCACAGGCATCTTCGGGCCCCATCCTTGTGACTATATAGTAATGAGCAACGGTACGGGTCCTCGTTTCTCTAAGCATGAGAAATTTAATTTTAAGCCACCCCACATGCACACGCACAGTGCCACATACATAATTGTGTATTCACGTAAGAGATATGGTAGCTGAAAGAAGCTCTATCAACTGGAGAGTCTTGGGGCAGGGAAGCCGGGCAGAGCCGGGCCGGGGCGTGCCGGGCATGGCTTGCCTTAACTATAGATAATGACACGTGAGGTATCGCCTCCCGGGGCTTGGAGTGCTTTGTAAACTGCGATAACATAGAAACGACCTGAATGGCGGCTCACTTTAAAACACTTAACCCTTGACGCCCAAGCCAACCACCAGCACGCCCAACCACCATCCCCCTCTACCAATCGAATCCTTAAACCAACGACCCACCCAGGCGATTGCACGCACTTTTAAAGCGCAACTTGATGGAAAACTGCCAAAGAGTTTGACTTCCTTGTTGGCGGTTGGGGCCCTAAAGTAGGACATGCCAATGTGCAGGAAAGGTACACTTTGTGGCAAACTGGGAGAGAGCTACTTACTTCGGAGTACAAAAAAAGTAATTAGGTCATCAATTGGCATGCCAATTTATGGCTGAAATGGTTTAAGATTGTGGCATAGCGAGTATGTACTTTTTAAATAAGGTCTTTCATAAATAAAACAAAGAGATTACTTTTGTGATTTTCTCTTCTCAGGACAATTTCCGGTATAAATTAGTAACTTTTACTGTTTGATGTTCAAATCAGCTAATCAATTGGAATAACGAAAACTAGGGATAAACCGAATACCGAACGAATAAAGCCACCGAAATGTGAAGAGAAATCATTGAAGTTTGCAAACAAAATTTGCATTTCAAATAGCCACATGAAACATAGGTATGTCCTTGTATTTGTTACCACTTCCGTTGATGTGATTTGCGAAAGATATGCAGAGTAGTATCTGACATGTAATGTGGCCAGTTGGGAAAAGATGCGAGACGGGTCTACCAAGAACTTCGGCGAAAAGAAGAAAAAAGATTTTCTGCTCCAGACTTGGGCCCCAAGGGTGCCAACTACTTAGAGAAGCAGAAACAGAGTGGCTAAAAAACACACGCAAAGCAAAGCACACATCTTTGGTCCAAAAGTTGTGAACAAACTCAAAATTCTTACTTAGAAATCACTGAGAAAAGTAGGGTGATTTCTTTGGAGAAAATGATCTGAAAAATATAGAGAAAGTCACTTTTCTCGACATTTTAATGAATGAATTTTAATTTCTGAAGCTTGTGGTCTTATGCTGATACTATGTTATATTTAACTTTTATATTCAAACTCCCTTATCCCACTGTGCAGTTGTTGCTTTGTTTTCTCATGTAATGGCATTTTAATTGCACGCTACAGCTCAGCCAAGTGTCTCTCAATTAAAAGTGTCTGCCAGGCTCAAAACGACATCCCGGCCCGCCATAATCTTGAAATGGCTAGGGAGATGGGCGAACGATGGCAGCCACATGTAATTTGTGCGAGGCGAGAAGTGAGGACATCTCCGGCCCGGACCGTCCCACCACACACCATGGAACTTTACGAAATCGCATATATTAATTATGCACGGAAAGCTGCGTGCAGGGCCAGATAAGAAGTCCGGAATGAATATCCCAGGAGACGACTGACTGGGATTGCCGCAAAGCCATACGTGTTCAGGCCATGAACTTTAAGTCATTTCGAAATCAACTTCGTAACAATATCTTTGTAAATTGTTTTAACATTTTCATTGAATTGATTTTAAAATTCTTGTATGAATGGAATAGTGCGTTTATTATCTGGCAGCGAGCCGGGATCCACACCCTTGAGTCTCCGGGAAGAGTTTCGATTTCAAAGATTCGGCCATGAAAAATTTAATCTTAATTCAATCTGAATAGTAACTAAACCAAAAATGAGAAAAAACATGAAAACAGATATGGATGCTATGCACTTAGACCTGGTTGGCTGGGACCCGGGGCTAAGGAATAAAATCGGGGAAATGGGTTTGGCTTGGCTGAATAAAAACACTGACGTATGCACTTGACTTGACTTGCACATTTGCGGTGGCAGAAAGCCTTGACAACTCAGTTGAAGCTGGAGCCAAAGCCAAAGCCAAATCCGAAGAAAAATAGTTATTGTTAGAGCAACGAAGGCCATGCCACGAGAGAGGCAGTAAGTAGCTTTATTATAGGATTTTAAGTTATTAGACCGGTGGCACGGGGTGAAAAAGGAGTGGAAAAGATTGCAAGTAGATGAGGACCAAGGATGCAACAATGAGCATTCACATGTGCGGCTTCATGTATCAGGACTTGGTTCAAGTGATGGCAGGATGGCCTACAGCCATATTTGTCAACAAGACTTGAAAAGAAATTCAATTCATCATTCTGAGTCTTTTGTGGCTAAAGCTTGAATATTAGCATTGTATGAAATCAGATCTAAACCGAGGAATCCACTTCAAACTAAATCATTTTTGTACAAAAATTCAATTATTTATAAAATTAAAAAAAAATTGTACAAAGAGAGTAATTATAGATCTGTAGACAAGTGTGATTGGCTTAATCAATTGGCTTTTTGCAAGTTGCTTTACTTACAATAAGAAAAGATTCGAAAAACTTAACCCTAAGAACCTAAACTTTAAACCTAAGAAATAAAATCAAATTAAGTGAGAATACATAAGCTTGAATAAAAGGTTGTCTCTTTCTGAAACAGAGAGAATTTTTTATATGATTAAGATGTTTTTTGAAATAAGTTGACAATCATAAAAATAGTATGATTACATACATTGGAATTCATGCCGCAAGTCTACTGATAACAAGACTGTTATAACAAGCTCTCAACAAGGAAAATTTTACTTCCATCAGAATGTGAGGAGGATCATACGTATTTTGGAAGAGTTTAGGGATAAATGCTTCCAAGCATTCCTTAAAGTCGACAGGCAATTCAACGAGTGCTGCAAGTCCAAAAGACAATCTAACAAGTTCAACGATTGTGCTGCTTGTGTTATTAAAAAGAAATCAACGTTAAACAACAAAGATAAAAAAACAAAAACCTTAATAATATATGTTACCTCAAGGATCACGTCGGCGTCGCCCATCGAAATAAAAATGATAAGCATTAAGCATTATCTGTTATTTACTTCAATAAATACTTCATGAAAGAAAACTCAGCTCGTTGTGAATTGTAATTTTTTTGTATCTTTAGTAACCTTATGTCCAAATACAGGGTCTAACCCTGGTAATGGCTTTAATAAATCAAGTTCCAGCGGTTGCCGGAAACCGATGTGTCGAGAACTTTGCATTATCGAGAGTGATCCCCTTTCCACTAAGTATATGAGCAAGACTCGGTCGAAATAAGAAAGACGAGATGTCAAGCTGTGCTTGACTGAATCTCCTATAAAAGGAAGATTTTCCGCTGAGAGGAATAGTGTTTCATGTGCCTTCGAACAGTACGCATACCCTTACTCTTTTTTTCGAGATGAAACATTTGGTAACTATTTTTTTTTTGAAAACATACGATACGATATTGCTTGTTTGCTTTCTTGAAATATTGAAATAGTTGGTAACTATTTTTTTTTTTGAAAACATACGATACGATATTGCTTTTTTGCTTTCTTTGCCATCACCATGGCTCGTCCCCAATTTGGCTTTGGTGGATATGGAGGATTCGGGGGACAGCAGCAGCAAGAAGAGCAATACGGTGGAGGCTTTTTCTGCTTTGGAGGAGAGTTTGGACAGCAACAACAGCAACAAGACGGCTTCGGAGGCTTTGGAGGTCAAGAGCAACAACAGCAACAAGCCGGTTTCGGAGGCTTTGGAGGGGGCTTCGGTCAGGAGCAACAGCAACAGGGCTTTGGTGGATACTTTTGATAATTTCCATGTCATTAATTTGTACCATATAGTCATGTGGGAGTATAGTATCTTGATTAACAAATAAAAAATTTTAAATGAAAACATATCAATCTTTTAAAGCCCTGTTGGCCGTTAAAATTCCGCTTAATTTTTGATAGAATTAATGCGTATTTCTGCTCTGAGCCAGTTAATAATTTAGTGCGATACATTAGGCGACAATAAGGCGACATTTTGGGTGTCAGCATTTGACACTAAGACTAATTTAATGGAAAATATCCGAGAAGAAGACTTGAAATTTTCCCTTATCGCGACACGCAACTGTCGCAAACCCGCCGCGGTCTGACAACAACTAAGTATAGAATCGCACCCGGCTCATGTGGTTCATATTTTAGCCGAAATATCTATTTATATGCAAATGCCACACCTCCCGGAATGTCGAGGCAGCCCCACTGTCACCTGGACTACTCATCCTCGAATGAGCCAAAGTCAAAGCCGAAGAATTTTCCTTTGTTGTTTCGGCATTCCTGCAATAATAAATCACGGCACCTATGCCGCCGCCGGAAGGGAGTCGGCGAGGAAAAACTAATAAATCCAAGGCCAATTAATTGACTTAACTGCTCCTGGCAAAGGCACATACCAAAGATGAGAGGCAAAGGCCCAGGCGAACGCAAGGGCATAAACATAGCCAAAGTTAGGCCCACGGCAAAGGCTCCAAAGCGTCGCAATTTATGGCCGCAACATCAACTCGAACCCACACATAATAAATCATAACATTTTACAGATAATAGAAAACTTCACACAATGAATTGCCTCCCTTAGCTACCAAAAGATATCGGTTTGTTGGCCCGCTAGCTAGAAATTTTAATAAGCCGCAAAGAGTTTCCACTACGAGCAGTAGAGGGAATAAAAATGGTTTCGCATAATTTATGCCGCCTAGGAGGAAACTAAACATGCCATCGCAGACATGAGCACTCTTAAGCTTAAAAGAGCAGGACCAGGTTTTTCAAAAAACCAACAGGCTGGCATTTTTCTATCAAATCTGTCAATATTCAATTTTTGGTTTTTTGGGGAAAAATTTAGTTTGTAGTAGGCTGTGAGGTCGAATTCCTGCCTATATAAGGCGGAATTTGTATAGAAAGCATCAGTATATTTTTCAACCGGCTAGACGCAAGACGCAAAATTAAAAGTATAGTCTCTGAATTATTTTTTGAAAAAAAAAATATTTAAATTACAGTGACAAGTTTTATATATAAAAATAATAAAAATCAACGACTGGTGAGTATGAAAAATAAATTCCCCCAAAAAATATTCCTTTCTTTATAAATTAATAAATTAAATTCAGTAAATTAATAATCAGTACATAATAGTGAAAAAAAATTGTTTATCGAGTGAATTTTTATTAATAAATAGAAGGGACTGCAAATAAGACTTATGAGTTCAAAAAAATTGAACGACAAAAAAGCCTTTGTGGGGAGTGGAAAAAGGGCACATATACCATTTTTTAACGGTGAATCCAGAAAAACAATAAACTTTTATTTCAATTTATATTGCTAAAATTGAAATATAACTCTTATTTTAAATAATATTATTATTTATAATAATAATTAAGAATAAGAATTATTTTTCAATTTTTATTAAAAAAAAATAAAAATAAAAATTATGATTCAATTTTTATTAAAAAAATTGAAAATAAGTGTTACGATTCAATTTTTATTATAAAAATTGAAAATAAAAATTGAATGCGAATAACTTCTGAACCGAGTGGACTATTAAAAAACCGCTTACATTTATGATCTGTGGCGCAGTACCTTTCAAATGATGTATCGAATGTCCTTAAAGGACATAATCAAGGATTCCTTAATAATTCCATAAATAAAAGTGTTCATTACAAAAGGAAGACTCGATTATGTGAATTATGTGAAGAAACATTTTTTAATAATGGCATCTGCAATGACAATATTACTCTTTATTAAAAAAACAGGTCCTAAAAATGTTTTAATCATGGAATCCTCAATTATTCAATTTATATTATATATATATTATATATATTATTTATATACAATATATATTATTCAAGTTATATTTCTACTAGAATTTTCAACTGTGGGCCAACCATGTAAAAGTACACACCGAGTTTCTTAAAATTATTTCGATTACTTTGTATATTGAAATATTTGTTGTATTAAATTCGTTTCAAGCCAAAGCTTACAAAAATCGCCGAAATATAATTGTTCGCTTTGCAATTTTTGAGTGGCTATAAAAATAGGTTCTAGTGCCGCCAACAGCAAGCTAATTTCCTCCCAATTTGATTCCGTTAACTGCAGTTTCACTTAGATTTTCTTTTGAAAACTCAACATAGTGTACGTTGAGATCCACCTTGTTGGCACATCCAGGAGAGGTTGGGGTATGTATCCATAATTTTAAAATAGTATTGTAATTTTTAAGTGTAATGTTATGCATTTAATTTGTTTACCTATAAGTCGGAGTTCGCAAAGTTTTTATTATGGATCGTGCGCTATCGACAAGGAATCTCCGACTCCTCTCTTTTAGCAGGTCATGAACAGCTAATTGCATGGAATAGGCGGCACATCTAATCGAATGTATAGAGTGAACGCGAATATCTTTCATAAGGTCGTCATCGTCAAACTCGTCACAAAATTCAGAATTCAATTCTTTGTTCATGAAGTCGATCGCTTTAATGACATTCTTGCCATTGTCTGAAGTGACAGTGTAGACCTGCTCCTTTTTTATTAAAAACTCGTTTAGCACATTTTCAATTTTCATGCTTCATGGAGCGCAATCACGCCAAGCGTGATTTCAATGCGGTGGTCTCGATAGTATTGGACATTGATTCCCAATATACCCCTGTTGACCCACACTAGAAATATAACTAAATAAATTGAATAATTGAGAAATCCTTGATTATGTCCTTTAAGGACATTCGATACATCCTTTGAAAGGTACTGCGCCACAGATCATAAAAATGTAAGCGGTTTTTTAATAGTCCACTCGGTTCAGAAGTTATTCGCATTCAATTTTTATTTTCAATTTTTATAATAAAAATTGAATCGTAACACTTATTTTCAATTTTTTAAATAAAAATTGAATCATAATTTTTATTTTTATTTTTTTTAATAAAAATTGAAAAATAATTCTTATTCTTAATTATTATTATAAAAATTGAAAATAAGAGTTATATTTCAATTTTTGTCATAAAAATCAACAAATAATTTTTATTTTTTAATTTTTATTTTAAAAATTATAACAATTACGGTCCCTGATAAATAGTAAAGACTGAAAAGTCTTGGTGCCGGTGCCAGGCATTTTAATTTATTTATTAATAAATAGTAAAGACTGAAAAGTCTTAAGCACATTGGTGCCGGTGCCAGGCATTCATCTCAGCTTCAAGCAGGGAAAAATATTTGCTTCTAAAAAAAAATCGGTATAAATCTAAATTTAATTTAAAATTTCAATCGTAGTACGGATCGCGTGAGTTTACATATCTCGTCCGGTTAGCGAATTTGCAAAAGCCAATGAACGGTTCCCCCAAAAAATAATCCTTTCTTTGGGATTTGAATTTATATTCAGTACACTTTGAAACGTTGAGAAAGCAGTTCCCAAATTAATAGTGAAAAAAAATTGTTTATCGAGTGAAATTTTATTAATAAATAGTAAAGAGTGAAAAGTCTTGGTTCCGGTGCCAGGCATTCATCCCAGCTTTCAACTAGGAATAATTTTTGCATCTAAAAAAAAAAATAGGTATAAATCTAAATTTAATTTAAATTTTCAATCGTAGTCCGGATCGGTACAAATGTAAATATTATTTAAATTTTCAATCGTTGTTCGTATCGGTATAAATCAAAATTTTATTTAAATTTTCAATCGCAGTTCAGATCGGTATAAATCTAAATTTTATTTAAATTTTCAATCGTTATTCGGATCGGTATAAATTTAAATTTTTTTTTATTTTCAATCGTAGTACGGATCGCGTGAGTTTACATATCTTGTGGGGTTAGCGAGTTGGCCAAAGCCAATGTACGGTTGCAAAGCATGTTGAGTGAAAGTGTAAGAAGCTTCCTTGGGCAACGCCCTTGGACCGGGCCGCGTGAGTTAACATGCCCTAGTTAACATTCCCTCTCCACAGCCACAGGGAGGGAACACAGAAACGGCAACTGTAAAAACTAACGCCGATGGACAACAACAAAAAGATCGCCAAAAAGAGAACTCTGACGGACACGCACAATTCTCGTGCAAATTAACTAGAAGTTTAATCTATATTAATATTATAAACAATTATTTCTGCACTTCCCACGAGCAGTGAGTTCCCACGAGCTCTTACACATTTATCCCCACACTCGCACCTATAACACAAACGGCAAGCCAAGCTTGAGTCAATCATAAACATAAACAAACTTCGGTTCTAACTTCGAAATTATCTTCGGAATTAACTTCGGAAAGTTCTTAGGGAAGCTTGGAAAGCTTCAATCCCGAGACGACAAGGAAGACAATTAACTCAAGCTTGGTCAGTCGTAAATTAGCCTTAAGTTTATCTGTACGACAATTGCAAAAGTACTTTAAATAAAATATATATTTTTATAAAACTTCGGTACGATATTTATAATTGGCGCCCAACGTGGGGCACGAGTCTTTTAAAACAATATCGATATTAAAAAAGATATTCGCGAGTGCCCTAAAAATTAAATCATAGGCCTTAATTTACAAAAGGCTTCTATGTAAAAAATTTAAAAAATCGTACCAGTGAAAGAAAAAAATATATATAAGAAAGTGAAAAAATAAGGCAATCCATTAATTAAAAAATACAAAATAATATCAATAAAACATTTCGCAAAATCATTTTGATATCAGTAAAAAATCCTGATATCTGAGAAAATCAGTTAAGAAAAAGAATAAAAATTCAACAAAATAAACCGGAAAATAAAACGGTTACAAAAAAGTTTTTTTTTTTTTTTCATTACCCAATGGGGTTTTCTTCAGCTCTTCTTTATTCATTATAACCTTGCAGAGGGTATTTTAATTTTGTCCAAAAGTGTGCAACGCAGTGAAGGAGACATCTCCGACCCTATAAAGTACTTATATTCTTGATTAGGATCACCTCCTGAGTTGATATGAGCATGTCCGTATGTCCGTCTGTCTGTTTCTACGCGAACTAGTCTCTCAGTTT